GTGATATTGATTTCCTATTCATTGTCATGAGTCATATGAACTATAAAACCCCCAAATCTATATATCTAGATTTGGAAGTATTATCATTTCACTATCTCTTAAAATCATAAATGTGGGAGCGATTAAAGTTTTCCTTAATATAATGAACATCATTGACTTCATTTATGAACATAACTCGTTGAAAATTTTTGCACTTAAGTAAAAAAAATCAATAAAAGTAAATGTTAATTTTATTTTTTAAAATGAGTCAATATTTGAATGTATTAGTACTGAGTCAATCGCACCACAAGTAGTCATCTCGAATCATTGCCTTCATTATCTGAAAATAGAAAGGGATAAGGTGAAATGAGTGAACGCTCATGAATTACTTTAAAATAAAGCATTTCTCAATATATTTTCCTCTTTCTTTCATTTCTTTAAAAACTTAACATTAACGTCATGAGCTCACTTAATATATTGCATAATCAATCCAATTGTAGCGAGCAATTATTATTTGAAACTCAGTCGAGTCCTACTAGTAGTACCACAAAGCAATTAACATTAACATTAACATTATCATTAAACATTGGTCGGGTACGCCGATCCCCAAGCCCCATTTCCCACTTACATCTTTCATAACATAGACATACACTTCGTAATAAACATTCAAGATACATATCTTTAAAAACACCTTTTGACTCATTGGCTTTTGAAAACTTTTGTTTTTTGAAACTTCATATATGCTTATGGATGCACTAACGTGTATAAATTTGTAATAAGAAACATTAATGCTATAACCATAATAATCAAATGTCATGTTAACATAAGGACAAATAAGATAATACATTTAACCATATGACATACGCTTGAGAAGGGGGATGTTTACTTACATTTAACCATTTGACGTATACATGAGAAGTGAGGAGGTTTACTTGCCTGAAATTCTTATAAATTTACTTGTAGGATAGCAAGTGGAGATGTCCTTAACCATCTAGGATTCAACATGCCAAGGCCCTAGTTCATTACCATTGATTAAGAAAGATTTGTCCAAACTCGTCACTTGTCGTTTCTATTATGCTAGATTGATTAAATATTATCTCATCTTGAATATCACTTTAGAATTTATCAGCTAGTGGACAGAGGCAGCCAATTAGCCATGACAATGCATTTTAAACTCACTCAAATGAAGAGAAAATTTTAAATTTCATAAGCTTCAAAATTAATTGGTGTATTCATGGTTCCACCTGATGCAGAACACTCTAATGTACGTATAGCTCAATGAGAACATGGAATTTACAAAAAAAAAGAGTATAAAAGAAATTGCAATAACGAGTACAAGAAAAACTTATAATAGTAATCACTAAAAATGGGTTTATCAAATAAGATCATTAAATTTGTAGCGATAGGCCACGTGTACAATACTATAGATCAACAATTGAAAATGTATAAAAAAAAAATATCAGGTGTCTATAGTAGAAATATAATAGAAAAGGACTGTGGTCGAAATTCAATTTACTTGGGCATATAAAATTATTGTACTAGAGGGACAAAGAAGGTCTTAGTTTACATCTTGCAGGGAGCGCAGAACTAATTAAGAGGCATCTGGACAAATTCTGTATCGTGGTATATATTCGGTTTGATAGAGTACCTCTTGTGACGGGTTTTGGGTAGCATTGGTGGTTCCGCTTTGCCACCAATTTCAACGGTTGCACTGTGTTCAGTTTCTAGGGTTGGATCCATTGAGTGTAGGTACCGTGGTGTCAGTGATGTCTGTAATGCTTTTGGGGACATTGAAAGCGACAGTTCTAGCAAAGGGCTTTCTGTTCAAGCATTTTGTATGGTTCCTATTACAGGGTGTGCTTCGACCCTGTTTGGTAAACATTACTTCCTTGGTAGAATTTTGGAAACCTAGGAGTAAGTTTCAGGTATTGGTTGTGGACGCCGTACGGAAGATGATGGTTTATATGGAGAGTTTTGATTACTGGATTGGGGAGATTGACCATTTTATTTCGATGCAAACGGGTTTATTTCTCAAGTGGAAAAATTTTGTGAAGCTCTGCTCATCGCACCGGAATTTGAGTCAAAGTGGAGATTGTTAGGTTTTGTGATTCAAATATAGTTTGGAATCTTGTGAGATTGCATATTTGATTTTTACTTGGAAATGAAGATTGTATCCAAGTTGAATAAAGAAGTGAAATCCTTTCTCGCTCGAAGTTCTATGCGCAATTGTAACCTAATTTTAACATATTTTCTTATCTTTTAGGACTCTTCTAGGTTTTAGAACGTGACCTATAAATACAAGACTTCTCTGTCAGTTTTATTTAACCATTATTGCTGTGTCTATAATTTCTCTACTTATTATCAGTTAATATACATCGTTCCTCTGCGATTAACTCTCTTTGTTCTTCTTTAATTTTTGTCTTGCTTCTTGTTGTGATCTTTATTATTTCATATTATGTCATTAATCTCATTCATTAAAATCTCTCAGGGTCCAACACCTAGGCCCGCTTTAGTGTTTCAAAAATAATCCACTCGAGCAATTGGGTGGCCTTGCACCTGCCTCTTTACGTGCCATTTATTGCCAAATCAAATACTGGATTTATTACTCCTCGTCCCAACTTGACAAGGTATTGTTGGTTTCTGAAGCAGAGATGCACCAAAACAGTAGCTACGTTTTCTTTGTTCATCGGGGAGCCATTCCGGATAGGGCTGGGCAAATCTCCCGAACCGAATCCGAACCGAACCCGACGATTCTTGTTAAATTAAATACCCGAACGGGTATCTGAATTGAGAACCGAGGGGTACGATTCGGTTCTCGGTTCTAGATCAAGAACCGAATTTTTCTAATTTTTTTTATATTGAATAAATCAAATTATTTTAATTTTAATTTTTTCTAAAAAATTAACAATTTCTAAATCCAAATTTTTGGCCCAATAATTTGTTTCATTTCTAATTTTTTGATTTTTGGCCCAATTACCCATTTTATTGTCTCATTTCTTATCCCAACAAGATCCAACCCACTAAATAACCCTAAACAACTACACTAAAGTACATAACGCTGTCTCGACTCTCGCAGCCTCGCTGACATTCCAAAACCTATACAATCATCGACCGACGCTGTAACCTCCGATCGAAGCTGTGACCTCCGTCAACCAAAATTTTGACCGTAGCGATTATTTAAACAAGGTAGTTTACTAATCTCTGACATTTCAAAACCATTGAATGTGTCATTAGTTATATTTATATAATGTTGTTATAAATATTAAAAAATTTAATTATAGTACAGAACCGAACCCAACTGAACGGAACCGAGCCTAAACAGTTCCATAATTATATTTAGACCCGACGGTTCCATTTACTAAATACCCGAAAATTTTGGTTCGGTTCGGTTCGGTTCTCTTTAGAACCAAACCGACCCGCGCCCACCCCTAATTCCGGATGACATCGAGTAGCACAGGTACTGCCTCTGCAACTCCAATAGTCGCCTTTCCTTCGAGATGACTAACCAATATTGCTAGTATAGCAAGAGCTTCATCCACAATGTCACCTTGAGGTTCAGTAAGCAGCAGCATCAATGTAGGGACGACTCCCACCCTAATGGTCTTTCCCTTGTTACCTTGATATATGCACAAGTTGAAGAGTGTCGTTGCAGCATCCTTCTTCCCATTTTGTGTACCTTCACTTAGAAGTGTCACAGGTGCTGGAATTGCTCCCGAAGCACCAATTGTAACCTTATTTTGATCTATTACTGAGAGGCTAAATAGTGTGGCTGTTGCATTTTCCCGTGCTTCCATGCTACTCTTTTTGAGCACATGAACTATACCAGGCACGGCCCCAGAAGATACAATACTTCCCTTGTTATCTTCACACATGGAAAGGTTAAGAAGTGCCGTAACAGCTTGCTCTTGGGCGCGGGAATCAGGTGTCGATAAAAGTGGGACGAGCAAAGGAATGGCACCAGCTTCAGCAATTGCCACACAATTGTCAGCATTCTGCTTTGTAAGAAGGCGAATTTCACCTGCTGCAGAAATCTGATCTTCAGTATTGCGAGCCGTGAGCTTATGGAGGAGAGCTTCTATCTTTGTACGTTCAGCAGGGGAGAATGCGGAAGTGGTCTTACTTGGTTGACTGCCTGGTCGTTTTGGGGGTTCAATCAAAGCTTCCAATTGGGCTGTCACCTCTTGAAATTTTTTCATTTGTTCTCTCTCCAAAAACTGCAAGTGATATTTTAGTTCTTCAGTACTGGGTAAGATAAATATGGGATAGAAGACTGATATTCGTAAGAAAACAAAGTTCAAATTCAACATTTGCTATGACCAATTAATTACAGCAGATGCAATTATAAAATATAAAAGACACTTCAATGGTGAGGAGATTGGATGTCCAGCAATCAAGTTTGGGTCTTAATTGCGTATGATCAACTTCTTCCTTTATGGTCATTATAAGTCAAAACCAAGGGGTTTACACAGATCTGCTACAGGAACATGATCTTTGACAGGCTTTTATAAAGATATATACTTGGCATTGACGGTTAAAAAAAAAAAAAAAAACTGTCATTTCATCCCCAACCATAAATGATTTCATAAACAAACCAAAAGTAAATGATTCAATGTTCAATATGCAAAGTTCCAAGAGAGAGGTCTTCTATAACAGCTGCGATTCATTAATTCCATTTGAACTTCAGTGTGCTGCGATTCATATAGCTTAAATTTATATCTTCAGTATATCCTGGATTCGTTTTTTCCAGAAAGTTTGAATGTGAACAACATGAACTGTTGAAGTTAATTTCATAAATATATAATGAACAGAATGTGTTATGAGGAATTCATATACAGTAAAAATAGGAAGTACAGTGAAATGCAAATTTCTCTAACAAACAACAATAACACAACTTACCTGATGCAGATCTGCCTCGGATTCATTTCCCGGAGGCGTAACTGATGTAGAGATCATTATGTCCTCCTGATGATGATCAAATGATTGAACTATGTCCAAATTCCAGTCATCTACTACTGTATTAGAAGTTGACCCAAAGTTAAAACCGGAGAATGAAACGGAGTTGAAGCTGGATTCCCTCGATTCATCTAATAAAGCAATTCGACGCAGTTTCTCTCTATCAAGCACAGCTTCCACCAATCTCTCCCAACTGTCATAGTTATTAGACATCTCTAAATAAGTACAAATCTTGCAAGCTGATCTGAAATTATTAAGAACTCAGGTCTGCCCTTAGAAATGGGAATGAGTTCAAATGGCAACCTGGCAATCTCCTTTTGTGCGAAAGGCCTATGACCAAATTCCCCAAAATGAAATTAAATTTAAATATTTAAATTTGTTATAGTTGACTAAGGATAGATCATAGATTACCAATTGAAACCAATTATCATCTCTCCTGCATCCCCAATTCAAATACAGCCCGCAGTCGTCTCTAGTGCGTTCCAGCCGGAAGCCGACAGCCGGCTCCCCAATCTGGCACCTAGTTTGACACCAACATCAGCCAGCTTCTACCTTTTTTATGTGTGTGTAGTGGTGGCAACATGGAAATTCTAATTAATTTTTTAGCATATGAGGTTAAAATATTCTTTCATTCAATTAGGTTCAGAAAGCGTGAAAGGTTGATAATTCTGAAGAAAGGGTACCCAAGATGAAGTAATATATTACCTATTTAATAAATAAATAAAAAGTAATGATGAATTTGGAGAAGTTTTATTTATAATGCACAATTAAATAGGACTACAAGATGTTGATTTTTGTGGGCAGTTAGGGACATTTTCACTTGTTATTTTAAAATAAATTTCTAATGATTCTAGGTAAATAAAGCTTCAAATGTCTTTATATGTGTATTACTTTTTTAAATGAATGAATATGTTATCTAAATTGGGATAATGTGAAATTAATATGTTATATCATAAATGCTCTTAGTGATCATTCATGCATATCAATTCATCCATAAGCATGCATAAAATTTCACGAAATAAAGAGTTTTAAATGTCAATGTGAGAAGGAATATTTTTATTTATATGTATTTCAAATATTTTTATTACGAGGTGTATGTTCGCCATGAAGGTGCGGATGGGAAATGAGGCGTGGGGGACCATCTCACCCGATCAATAATCAATGATGAATATTCAATGTCAATGTTAATGTTAATTGCTTTTACAGTACTACTGGTAGATTCGATTGGGTTCCAAATAACATGGTCCATAGCATTCTAATTGGTTAAGCGGTATCATTGAACATTGGTCCGGTACACTGGTCCCCCACACCCCATTTTCCACTTACATCATTCATAGCATAGACATATACTTCGTAACAAAACATTAGAGATACATATCTTTAAAAACATTTCTTGACTTATTGACATTTGAAAACTTTTATTTTTGAAACTTCATATGTGTTTATGGATGCATTAACATCTATAAATATGTAGTGAAAAACATTGATGATATAAAACATAATAATCAAATATCATGTTAACATAAGGGAAAATAAGATAACATATTTATACATTTAACCATAGACATACGCTTGAGAAGGGGGAATGTTTACTTACATTTAACCATATGACATATGCATGAGAAGGAGGGAGGTTTACTTGTCTGAAATCCTTATAAATATATTCATAAGATAGCAAGTAGAGATGTCCTTAACTTCTAATAGTAAGCACTAAAAATGGGATTATCAAATAAGATCATTAAACTTGTAGCCACGGACCACATGTGCAATACGATAGATTTAACCTCTCGGTGACCATGTTCAATTTCAATATACATAGGCAAGCAATTCAAATAAATAGACCTAATCTTTCCCTACTAACTTATTTATCCCTAAACTTAATTTATGATGTAACTTAATTTCCATTATTAACAATCTTGTCATTATTAAATTAATTTACACCAAATTTGCTAAAATCGAAAAATGATTATCTTCCAACCCAATGTCTAGGTTCAATTCAAAAGCAAGGCAGTACAAAAATCAAATAAATTACACAATATAATTTAATGAGTTAAATAAAATATAAACATTATAATTGAATTTATGGGCACATAATTCATCCAGGGCGTCGAGGCACATTCTACTGTAAAAAAACAGAGCTAGTTACGAGGATAATAATTCTATTAATTACAATACAAATATCATATTAATGAAAATAATCTAGAGAAACATGATAATCACGAGAAATAAGTATGCGGCGTTACATGAACAATCCCCATTACGCCTCCAGGGTTTTTGCCTTACCTTATGGCATGCTTCTTACAAAGATTTTTATACATTTTAATGTGTCTTTTAGTGATGAGCTTTCCATTAGCCACCAACATACAAACACTATCGTTATTAGCACCCTTCGGAGAATGAAAAATGTGAAAGAACAGGGGCAATTGGCGGCAAACACTAAGAGTTGATATGGATTTATGGCCCTATACTTTACCATTTGAAGGTGACGAATCATGGAAGGTGATAAAAATGAAGAAGATGCACCGACTCCTTTCGTGACATTCCTAGCTGAAGTAGCCTACCTCCTTCCTCTAGTTTCACATTCTCCGAGGATATAATTTATTGCATGGTCGTATTGATTCTCTGATTTTCACCATTGAGGGTTTGCAAAAAACAGTGCATGGTATACAAAATTTTATGGATGGGTTAATTGCTTTAAATACTTGTTTTGATTAAAATATAAATAATCTATTATATATAAAAAATATATATATATATATATATATATATATATATATACTTTTTAATCTCAATTTATTCGAATTAGAATAACATGAAAAGGCCATCGAATTTATGCTTCATTTTGTCGCGATTGAATCATTAAATTCATTATTTTATTTTAATTTAGTCATGTTGTGCAAGTTTATTAATTTGACAAACAATATCGAATTTATGCTTCGTTTTGTCAAGATTGAATCATTAAAATCATTATTTTATTTCAATTTAGATATATATATATATATATATATATATATATATATACTTTTTAATCTCAATTTATTCGAATTAGAATAACATGAAAAGGCCATCGAATTTATGCTTCATTTTGTCGCGATTGAATCATTAAATTCATTATTTTATTTTAATTTAGTCATGTTGTGCAAGTTTATTAATTTGACAAACAATATCGAATTTATGCTTCGTTTTGTCAAGATTGAATCATTAAAATCATTATTTTATTTCAATTTAGTCTTGTCATGCAAGTTTATTAACTTGATAAACAAAAATAATGACATAATCTAATGGTTTGAACATCGTATATATTTATATCGTGTCAACATATATGTATCTATATAGATATCATTGAGATATTAATCTAAACATACTATTATATATTGGTTTATTTAAGTTCAATGTATTAATACAAGTGGAATGATATCTTCAAACTATTTTTTTTTTTTTTTTAATTTAAGGGCTATTGAATTTATAATTCATTTTGTCACTGTCACGGGTGCCATTGAGTTTCATAATTTTATTTCAAGGAAGCACTTTGTCAATATCTATTTGACAAACAGAAAGTTAGATCGATCGACTTAGTTGAAATGAATTAGTGACCTCCAATTCTATTTTATTTTTAAATTATAAATTACTTGTCTCTTTCATGTATAGTCTTTGTTTGATATTGAAATCAAATTTTTATTAAATTTTGATAAAAGTTAAATCAAAATCTAAATTTTAATCCAAGTAAATAATTATTTACTGAAGGTTGATGGTGCATTCTTGTAAGCGTCGGCTTTGATAATTTCAATTTTGGAGGATAGGTAATAAGATAATGGTAATTATATATGCTTACGAAAGTGACCCTGATAGGGATTTAATGTCAAAAATTTTGGAGAAGCAAGCTCCACGCCTTCTCCTTTTTCCAACGTTTATTAAAAGAAAAATTGCAGTAGACATCTCCAACCTATTAATGTTATTTAAATAGATACATCAATCTTTAGTTTTTGGTGATGGTCCTAACACGGCAGCGCGAGTTAACTCGGGTGAGCATTTTGGCCATAAGCCTCGAGGTGCTCATCTTGAGGTGGAGAGTGCATAGTCAGAGATCACGTTGATGCATACAGTCGAAGTAGATTGTGGCGGTTGTTACCTCATCAAATATAAGATTGGCAACGGATTCCTCCACCAAGGAATTTTGGAATAATGATATTTTATTAAAAAAAATGTGCAGTTAAAAACTGCAAAAGAAATTTGAGTTTATGCGCAAAATTATTGTATTGAGAAAATATGTAGTTGAAAATACATTTGAGGGAAAATGAGTTTTTAGAGAATGAGATTCAAATAAGAGCTTAATTGTCTAGAATTAAAGGTTGAACGTATGCTTGATATAACAACAATAGATCGAGGACTTCCGCTGAAACTTTTCTTGATGACCTTGTCCAGCAATGATCTTAACCATTAAAAATTCAGGGAATCATCCGTTTCGTCTACTTTATATTCGTCAAAATCAAATGCATATAATCAGGACACCCAAAAAAAAAAAAAAAAATCGTATCGAATCCTGTACGCCAAACATGTCATAACTGCACTATATTTATATTATAAATAGGAACCAACAAGTCTATCAAGAAACACCTACTTGAGAGCACGCACTGCAAAGAATTCATTTCAATTGATAAAATCTCTCCCCTTAATTTTCCCATTTTCACATCTGAAGATTATGTCATCAGGCTGTAATTGTGGCTCAAGCTGCTCTTGCGGAAGCAACTACAGGTAAACATACTTTCGACTTAATATTCCAACTATATAAAGAATTTTATGTTGATTTACTTATAAGTTACTTTTTTTGTATTGGAAGTTGTGGCAAAATGTACCCGGACGTCGAGAAGAGCACGACAGTTACCATCATCGAAGGGATCGCACCAAAGAAGATGTAAGTCTAATCAAAGGTGTCGATTACGTAATTTCATTTTGAATTCTCTGATCTATTCATTATTACGTCTATTAAGAGATCGAAAAACTTATAATCCTTATAATAGGCCTTGTTAGTTTTAATCTTCGCTCTTTTAAATGGGAATTGAAGCAGTTGATAGTCGATGTCCACGAATAGTTTTATTACGATACTTCTATTAATTTGTGCACTTTAAATAATATTTTAGGTAGGTGCAATCAAGAGATTATATTTAGCTAAAGGTTTTCCTATTAAAACACTACTTTATTATTATTATTATTTTTTTTTATTTTCATATTACAGAAAATATAGAGATATAGCCCTTGTTTAGTAAAAATTAAAATTCAGATTTTAATTTAAGTTAAAGTCAACTATTAATTTTAATCACATATTTTGTGGATCTACAACTTTTCAACTACGTATTTCATCAAATTTTATCAAAATCTGCTAAAAATCTAATTTTAATCTCAATCAAATATAAGGCTTTGATTTAAATCTTTAATATAAGGGCAAAGCGATTTGTTGATCAAATCAATTTCTTTGAATTTGCTTATAATCCACTCGAACTTAATTTTAATAAATTCCAAGTATTCGTTTGAATCAACTAGTATTCATTAATGGTATTCATCGAGTTTTTCGCTTCTTGGTGCATCAAGAGCCTTTTCAGTCTCCATAAACTAATTCAACCAGAGTTATTTCCACTTGT